CGCGCCAGGCTCGGAAGGCCCCGTGCTCTGCTGACGGCCCGGCGCCGCGCCTACCCCTGCGGAAGCGGACGACGGAGGTCAGAACTCCGGGGCCTGCATCTCCCCCAACCCGCACCGGTGACCAAAGCCGCAGTCGCCCCCGACTTCCAGGCTCGCCTCTCCGAGCTCGGCCCTGAGCCCCTCCCGCGCCCCAGCTCGCAAGCCCCGCTCCACTTACGGCAGGCGACAGAGGCCGACGCACGGAGTAGTGTCCTGGCGGCTTGGAAGCGCCGGGCCAGGCCCACTGGGACCCCGCAGCCCCCTACAACGCAGGCCGCCATGCCTGCTTGCTCGGGTCGGGACTACAACTCCCAGTGATCACTGCGACGAGGCTGCTGGATAGCACCTGCTATGGGACAAATTAGATATCTTTCCCCCCACCCCCACCCTTTCCCGGATGTCTTAGGAAGAGTGCCTGTTTCTCTAGTTTCCCATAATGTGCCAAGTTCCACGCCTCTACAGGGGTGTTCTCCCAGCCTGGAAAGCTCTTTCCTCTCCCTCTGCATCAACTCTTCGCTTTCTCAGGCAAGCCTTCCCTATGTCAAAACCCCATTATAGGCTCTCGTTCCTAGTTGGTACCTTCCATTAGCAGCTCTAATCTCATTTGCAATTTTTTCCTATTTGTGTAATTATTTGATTAGTGTTTAACCTTGCCATTATACTATAATCTCCACAAGGGAAGGGAAAATGTCTTCTTTTGCTCACCATTTTATCCCAGCACCTAATACTTACCTGGCTCTTACTATCTCTTTGCTGAATGCACTGCAAGAAGAAAATAGTTCCTAAGAGGACGGCTAGTGCAATGTCCCTGAGACTACATAGAGCATTACCCCTTTGAAGAGCTAAAATTGAGTTTAGGCTGGGCAACTGTTGGTGGGGATAGATGGGAGAGATGAAGCTGGAAAAGACAAATTCTGTCTTCTTAGTGTAGGGCCCCATAAAACCCCAAAGGAGACATTCCCTAGAACATGGCGCCTTTCCGGCTTCTCTTCCGCGTCCTAACATTACCACCGGCGCCAAAGTATGGCGTATCAAAATCATCACCCGCCCTTCTGACCAATCAGCCACTGCCCCGCGTACTAACCACCCTCTCCCGGAACTCAGCTCTCTATAAATGTATGCTTCACCCTCAAATAAAGCGGAACTTCTCCAGTGAACTGTCAGATCGGGTCCTGACGTTCTTTCATTGGTGCCGAAACCGGGAGAAGCTCACCCCTTACCCAAGGGGACTCCTTCTCGGACCTCCTAAACTCTCTCGGTGGTTCCCGCTGCTGACGCTTCGCCCTTGTCCATTTTCTCCGGCGCTGGCTTTCCGCACCCAC